CAAGAGCTGCCTCAGTACCGAAATGCGAGGTTAAATTCGATTCAATTATAATAGACGACGATCTTCAGCTCCTGATCCGTCTTAAAAATGTCCGTAGGAGACAATATCAAAGAACACGCGATCCTGCCATGAAGGTTATCTGGCGGGATTTGCAAAAACAAATTAAAAAGCGATTCTCTGCCCTGAGGAACAAAACTTTTGAAAATAATATTTCTAAATTAGACCCGAGTTCCAAACCCTTTTGGAAACTCACAAAAATTTTGAAAAAACCTCAAAAGCCTATTCCAGCGCTTAAAGAAGGTGATAAAATTTTGATCACAAATTTGGAAAAAGCTCAGAAACTTGCTAAGCAATTCGAGAGTTCCCATAATTTCAGTTTGGTTCTTACTAGTCCTATTGAGAATCAGGTTTCTCGGGATTTTCTGAATATTTTCTCTCGGGAAAATATTTTTGATGATTCCTGGGGGACTGATTTGGACGAAGTAAGGTCTATAACTAAAAAGTTTCAAAATATGAAAGCTCCAGGTGATGATGGAATTTTCTATATCCTCATCAAAAAACTCCCAGAGAGTTCCTTGTCTTTCTTGGTAAAATTATTTAACAGATGTTTCCATTTGGCAGACTTTCCTGATAAATGGAAAAATGCAAAAGTTGTTCCAATTTTGAAGCCGGATAAAAATCCAGCTGAAGCTTTCAGCTACCGTCCAATAAGTTTGCTTTCTTCAATAAGTAAACTTTTTGAAAAGATAATTTTAAATAGAATGATGCTTCACATCAATACGAACTCAATTTTTGCAGATGAGCAGTTTGGATTTCGCCATGGGCATTCAACTACTCATCAACTCTTAAAGAGTTACCAATTTAATTCGTTCAAACAAATCTGAAGGCCACTCAACTGGAGTTGCTCTTCTAGACATAGAAAAAAGCATTCGACAGTGTTTGGCATGAAGGTTTGATTGCTAGATTGAAAAAGATCAATTTTCCACTTTATATTATTAAATTAGTTCAGAATTATTTAACTGACCGAACTCTACAGGTAAATTACCAAAATTACAAACCCAAATTTCATCAAATTTCTGAACAAAGCACAAGTGTTCGCGAAAAATGTGTATCCTAGCCACGAACATACATACAAAATGTATGAGTTGGTTCGTATCTAATCTATTCTGGGCAAATTATTTTTATCTAGATAACAAATTTCTATGGTTTTGACAGATGGGATCGCTGCACATTTGAATTCGCCGTTATGGATTCTTGATCAAGAGTTAAGTTTTAGTTTCATGTCGGTTTGTCGGTGATCTTAATTCGATTTCCCCTAATTTAATAATAAAGTATGCCCGAAGCAACTAAAATCATAAAATTTACATAGAATAATAAAGAATATGATAATTCCAGAGTACAAATATTTATGGAATTATTTATTATTTTTAAAACTACCAAATTATTTTCCAAGCAGAGCAAAAAAAGTTGTTAAATATTACATCGAAACTGCGGCAACCAGGTCAATCTATCGGTTGTGTAATATCACATTGTACGATGTACATCGATTTTGCGAACAAAATTACATCCATTGATGTAATATTGTATCTGCTTTTTGCTATTACATCATTATTTCATACATCAGCTTGAATTACGTTGATCGATATTACATTTTGTTTTGCTGTGAGCAGTACCCTAATAAAAATTGTATGGTTAATTTACTTAACGACGTGTTCTGGGTATCATCCAAACCATTTATGGAATAGTGCAATGATTTGGGTTATCGTTCGTTTATGGTTATTTTTTATTAGGGTAGGAATTACTGACAATATCCATAAATTACCCACAATTGGGTTCTTTAATTTTGAAAAATGTATCGTTTTTTATACATCATCTGAAAGAGCTTCGTTTTCTGAGCACAGCGATATTTTTTTCGAACCCACACACTTTCATCTCGATTTTTAAATCAAGATTTAAAGCAAAATAACAACTTCACTGTTTGACACTAAACTAAGAAACTGACAGCTCGCTCTCATACAAAGTGACACCGAAGGGCGCTAATAAGGTGATTTTTACAAATGTAATTGTACTTATTTAAAATAGTTCCAGTGTACCAAAATTGATGAAATTTTGGATTTGGGTTTCATTTTTAATGCAGATTACGAATATGCATTTACCTCAATACCCTTAAAGAACCCAATTATTTTTATTACATTGAAATTACTGAAATTCACTAATTACACTAGTTTACAAAACAACATAAAAAGTGTGAACTTTAGTGGGTGACCAACGTTTCTAATGCAAAATCCTACGCTGAATTCAATGCCGTGGTCAGAAAAAATTAAAGTAGAACCATTTTTGAGATATACAAAAATTTTGATTTTTTGAATTTTGGACAAAAGTACGATTACTAAAATGTCAATATCTTTGGAACTAGTGCACTAATTTTAAATCTTTTTTTTATGAAAGTGAAGCTAAATAAATTTGCTATCGTTCACTTGAATATTATGTCTTAATTAAAAATTTAATTTTGAAGTCATTTAAAAATTTACAGCATTTTTTTTTTATTTTTCCTGCGAATTTTCCATAAAAATCTTGTTTTAATCAACATTTTTAATGGGATAAAAGGATTCAAAAAATCATTCCATGATTTATTCTTAAAGTCCATTAAAAACTGGAGAAAATGAGCCTTTAATGGAATAAATCGGTTGGAAATTGTCGAAGTTATGAAATTTTTTGTAAAATCATGGCAATTGAATGTTCCAAGATTGGCCGTTGTCCCGCTCCTAGGTTCATGCACCACTTCCAGTAAGCCTTTCTGCGGACGTGTACGCATACGGTGCATTTCACTAACACTACCAGCTGTCACGCAAAATTAAATGGGATATTTTCAACAATATAATTTACGCTAGTGTTTGTGAGACCGCTCGGCGAGAACCTAACGCAACCAACTCAATTTGACAGCTTTCTTTCTTTAACATTGCTTAACGATGTATACGACAAAACGTGAATTCAAGTGTAAAAATGATCCTCAAAAGTTTTGTTACGTGTTTGGCAACTATATATTTACAAAATCGGTCAATTTCACTGCTTCGTTGCAAAATGCATACAGGCTTTATTTTAAAATTGATCCTGGAGACTTTGACGAACCGTGGATTCCAAAAGTATTATGTAGTTCGTGCAAAACGTGCTTGGCTAGGTGGATGTCAGGCGCAAGGTAAATTGATTTTTTGAATAACTTTCATATAAACAATTTATGTACAGCATGGTAGTGCTTTGTTCCTTCCTGATCGACATTATCTTACTTCATCTATTTTTGATAAGTGTTAATGTCTTACTTACTAACTCACTTATTTGTTATCTGTCAGTCGCTATTTGTCCTTTGACATGCCCACCATATGGCGTCGACCGTTTTGTCATGCAACGGATTGTTATTTCTGCTTGACAAAAGTTAAGCAACAAGGACGTCACAAAACAGTTGAGTATCCACAAGTGGCTTCTATGACAAAACCTGTTCCACATTCAAGTTCGGTCCCGTATCCTGTTTATCCAAAGCGGAAACGAGCGCCCTCTGTTGAATCGACCGTTATAAAAAGTGAGGAGGAATTCAAGGAGGAATGCGAGGAGGAATGCGAGGAAGACTTTGAGGTGGATTTGGAAAGAAACCCAAAACTGTTTACACAATCCGAATTTAATGATTTGGTGCGAGATCTCGACTTATCGAAGGAGAAATCCGAATTGCTGGCATCACGCTTGAAAGAACACAACATGCTGAGCAAGGAGGTCAAAATTTCTTGTCACAGGAATCGTCACAAGAAATTTGACAAATATCATTCTACAAAGGACAAGTCATGTTTTTGCCATGACGTAAACGGCTTGTTTGAAGAGTTTGGTGAGCCATATGATCCAACTGAATGGCGTTTATTCATCGATAGCAGCAAGTTGAGCTTGAAAGCCGTTTTACATGGTTTTACCGTTTTACTGCATCAAGGGAATGAGAAACCTTCTATTCCATTAGCTCATGCCGTTAATATGAAGGAAACGTATGAATGGGTGACTATTATTGGTTTCTGATTCGAGAAACAAGTTCAAAACATCGTAGACAAAGTCATTCGATTCTCAATCATTTTTAATAAAACCTAAATAAATTTCTTTTGTATCAACTCGGTTTTAAATCCTGATATGCCTTAATCAAATTGATATGTAGAGAAAAGAATCTCCCATGAAAACTTTACATGTGATTTGGATGTAAGCACCTAGAAAAGGAACTCTAAAGCTGTTGTATTTCAGCAACATTTTTAAGTGTTTTACAAAAATGCTCATAACTTAATTTTCAACCGATTTCATCCATTAAAGGCTCATTTTCTCCGGTTTTGAATGGACTTTAAGAATAAATTATGGAATGATTTTTTTAATCTTTTTATCCCATTAAAAATGTTGATTAAAACAAGAATTTTATGGAAATTTTGCAGGAAAAATAAAAAAAAATGCTGAAAATTTTTAAATGACTTCAAAATTAAATTTTTAATTAAGACATAATATTCTAGTGAACGATAGCAAATTTATTTAGCTTCATTTTCATAAAAAAAGATTTAAAATTGGTGCACTAGTTCCAAAGATATTGACATTTTAGTAATCGTACTTTTGTCCAAAATTCAAAAAATCGAAATTTTTGTATATTTCAAAAATAGAGCCATTAATTTTTTCTGACCACGGCATATTCAGCTTAGGATTTTGCATTGGAAATGATCATCACCTTACCGAGTTCAAAAATGCTGTAAACTAGTGTTATTTCCGAGGTTATTTCATCACCTTACAAGCTTGGTAGAAACCCCTCGGAAATCCACTTTGTTTTTTTTTCGATGTTTTCTGTCGGCACGGTCGGTACAAAACGGCTGATGCTTTTTCGACGTTTCCCACTGTCATCGTCATTCCATTTTCACCTCTTTATCCGTCACTGCTGTTCTGTTCTGTCTGGGTCTGCAGCTTGCGAGTAGACGAACGGAATGCAACGCAGCAACGAGTTTCAGGACGGTGACTCTGTTGCCTCCATTGCTAGAGAAAATTGATTTTCTTCCTGTTTTAGTCTGTTAATTTACCGTTCGAGCATAGAAAGACCAACAGTGGAAAGTGAAAAACAGTAACGAAAATTTGAAATGAATGGACCATTGGTAAGTAGAGCTCTGCGTTCGTTAAGATTAGAAAGTATTTCTCAATGGATGACATCCCACTTGTAGGGCCATCCTTCCGGAAGTGGAGCTGCCGGTGGTAGTTTCTCCGGACCGCCGGCGTCGGTGCAGGAATTCACGATCCGGGCTCCGAAAAATCTCAAGAAGAAGTATCACGTCATGCGCTACAATGCAACGCTGAACGTGGACTTCACGCAGTGGCGTACGGTCAAGATGGAACGGGAGAACAATCTGAAGGAATTCAAGGGAATGGACGAAGATATGCCCAAGTTTGGTGCGGGATCGGAATTTAATCGTGATTTGCGGGAGGAGGCTCGCCGAAAGCGGTACGGAATAATTGCGAAGAAGTACAGACCGGATGCACAGCCCTGGATTCTGAAGGCCGGGGGCAAGAAAGACGGCAAAAAGTTCCGGGGGATCCGGGAAGGAGGCGTTGGAGAGAATGCATCATTCTACGTGTTTACCCACGCTCCGGATGGTGCAATCGAGGCGTATCCGCTGAATGAGTGGTATAACTTTCAGCCGATTCAACGGTACAAGGCACTGTCGGCGGAGGAGGCCGAGTTGGAGTTTGGCCGGAGGAAGAGGACGATCAATTACTTTTCGTTGATGTTGAAGAAACGTATGAAGAAGGACGACGATATTCCGGAGGAACTGGAGGAGACTAAGGGGAAGAAGGGTGGTGGGGGAAAGGCAAAGGACTTGAAGATCAGCGATATGGATGAGTGGATCGATTCGGAAGACATGAGTTCCGACGATGATGAGGATGCAGAAGGGAAGCCTAAAGAGAAAGATAGCGACGATGAAGCTGATAAGAAGGCAAAGAACAAAAAGGCGTTGGCCGATATAAAGAAGAAGAAACGGGACGTTGATGAGGAAGCATTCGAGGAATCGGACGATGGAGATGAGGAAGGTCGGGAGTTGGATTACATTTCGGATTCGTCGGACAGCGAGTCGGAACCGGAGGCGAAGGCAAACAAGGAGCTGCAGTCGGTAGCGGAGGAAGATGCTCTGCGTAAATTGTTGACTTCGGACGAAGATTCCGAGGATGAAGAGAAGAAATCGGACGAGGATGAAAACAAGAAAGATGAAGAGAAGAATGGTAAAGCAAAGGACAAGGAGAAGGAAACGAAGGAAAAGGATACCAAGGATCAGTCGAAGAAAAAGAAGAAGGACAAAAAGAAGAAGAAGAAGCCGGAGAACGATAAGAAGGATTCATCGAGCGGTTCCAGCTCGGACACTTCCGACTCTGATGGGGACAATAGTAATTCCAAGCAGAAGAAGAAGAAGCACAAGAAGGAGAAGGAAGGTGCGGCGTCGAATCTGTCCAGCGCGAACAATTCCCGATCGGCTTCACCGAGCATGTCCCAGCTGGAGAGTAACAAGCGAAAGCTGGCCGGTTCCAACATGCCAATGACTGATTTCAATGGATCGGACAACAGCAACAGTCCGATGTCGACGCCGGCCAAGAAGGCCAAGATGGATTCGGGATTGTCACTACCACCGACCTTCACCGGGCTCGTCAGTTCCAACAGCAAAGAGTGAGTTTGTGATAGGCTTATTTCTAAAATGTACGGATTCTTTAACAATTGTCTTGATAATTTTGCAGTGACTACGGCATTACGGAGGAGGCCGTTCGGCGCTATCTTATGCGTAAGCCGATGACAACAACCGAATTGCTGACCAAGTTCAAGAACAAGAAAACGGGTGTCTCGAGCGAGAAGCTGGTGGAAACGATGACCGCCATACTGAAGAAGATCAACCCGGTCAAGCAGACGATCCAAGGGAAGATGTATCTCAGCATCAAGGTTCCCAAGTGAGGAGGAGAAAGGTGCTTCCATGGGGGCAGACGAGGTAAGTTTGCTTCGGGTTTTTAAAAAAGTATATCGTATTCTAGCGTAATTTATTACTCATAGTTCCATAATCAAACAATTGAATACAGACGCCAAGTCTAATTTTGCAACAAGTGTTTAATCATATTCGAAATCCTTTATCAAACAATTATTTAAATAGAATCATGTACTTAAATCTAAAATTTGAAAACATCCTCCCCTAACAAGTCAGTTTCGTGTATGGCACCTTTTTCACTGGTTTTAAATGCAGCACTCTGGAAACGAGTCTGGTCACGCGCCTCCTCATGGTCCCCGTCTTGCGATTGCGATGCGAGCTACTTGTACTCATCCTTCTCGTGTGACGCTTCCGCAGCGATCTTCGTCCGGTTAGATACGGTGACGTCCTCGGCGTCAGTGGTCGTTTGTCGCTGCTGCCGCCACCCGTCGATGGGGTGATACTTCTGTCCAGATTGCTTCCTTTCACCGAGGGAAGCTCAGTGGGTTCCGAAATGGGTTTCCTCACTGATGGCGAACGTTTCACTACCGGTTGATGCTTCTTGAACCGGATCGGTTTCCGTAGACGCGATGATCGTTCGAAGAATGTACTGTGCTGCTCCATATTGATTGCCGCTGGGATATCACTAAACTGATGGCAATGACCTGCTGGGTAGACTTTTAAGTAGCAATCATCCCCTCTCCATGCACACTATCAAAGCGGTCGAGGATGCTGGGTAGTGTTTGATCATTCGCTACCTGGCGAAACATCGGAGGATAAGGTGACGTGGAATTCTACCAGTAGCTCTACCTCGAAGGAGGTCAAGTTTAGTGGATAGGTACATTTGGGAATAAGTATTAGTGTAAAGGGAGAACGTGACAAAATAAGTTTGGCGACAGGAGAGATTAACGTTTATAATCCTGTTATTAAGTATGTCTGACTGGGAGATTTCCATGTCCTTTTTCACATGACTTATCAACTGGTGACACATAATTTAATCGGTATTAACTTTCAATATAAGATAAGTGCGAAAGCTCTACCAAAAGTGTGTTCAACATTAAATTGAATGGCTGCGACGTCATCACCATAGGGGAGCATGCATTAAGTACGTCACTCGAAATGGATGTGGTATAACATTTTGCGGTAAACCATTTCACGATCGACTGACAGCCGGCGCCGGTGGTGTAGTGGTAAGCGTGACTGCTTTCTAACACCCCGATGGGTCTGGGTTCAATCCCAGCCGAGGTCGGTGGGATTTTTCTGAGGCATAAAAATCTCTGGTCACGTCTTCCTTCGGAAGGGAAGTAAAGCCGTTGGTCCCGGCCCATGTGTGTTGAATGGGTGCGATATCCTACGCAGGTGTGGAAGCTGCCTTCCTTGCACATTCGATTGCCGTCATTGGATGGCAATCGATGTCCGTCGGTGATTGGCACTAGATTGCAAAACAGAGACCGACGTTAAAAAAAAAAAAAAAAAAAAATTCACGATCGACTGGTCTAGCCAATTTGAAGCTAAAGAGATAATACAAATAATTATCACATATGTTGAGTTACTAGATAACAAAACAAATACAATTTTAGTGGATGAAATATATTTATAATCATCGTTTTTTTTTATTGTTTGCCGTCTAAGGTTTTTGTGATGCTTAACGATGTTAGTAAAGTATTCCGGGTAGTTTTGGTGCATACTATTTCGCTCCAGTTGGCAAATTCGTTTTGGTACATTTTTAGATGGACAAAAAAGACAGCTGATCGCAACTGTCTCGTGGACAGCCTTATTGACATAACACTGGAGCTATCAAATCGCTGTCGGGGTGGTGTTGATTCAACGATGAACAATACATTCCCTGATATAAGGCCTGATTGTTTACCAAGATTTTGTGACAGATCACAGTAGAACTGGCAGTTTATTATCATATGAATTTCTGCTTTGTTTATCCCTGTCCATGGATGAGGGGCTTGATGATGATTTGTCAAATGCCGCTATGATTTTTTTTGCAATTTGTTTAAATTGTAGTTTTTTTTTTCCAGTTCATTGATTTGAAAGGTTCAAGCGAGTTAATTTCACGGAGCCGTAAATTGTAGTGTAGAGATTGGCACACCCCTGGTTGCCACTTTCATTCAGAGAGAGAGAGATGACTTTCAGAGGGAGAGGCAGAAAAAGTGAATTGCGAACGTGTCACGACGCGAAGAATTGAAGCGAAAATAAATACAAGTTAAATAGTTGATTTTGCGTTCGTTTATTCGGTGTTCCATATCCGTCCGTGTCTGTACACCACATTGGTGACCCCGAGTGAAAAAATCGCGTAAAAAACGGTCGATTATACCGTGTTTCGTACGTACGAAATTTTCGCGAAAATACCCTCGCCATCTTGTTTTTCTAATTCTAACCGAACCGGGAAAATGGCGACTGGACAGCAAGAGGAAAATCCGGCGGCTACAGCCTCCGTAGCTATCAAGCTGCCTGAGTTTTGGAAGACCGATCCGGCTATGTGGTTCGCTCAAGCCGAAGCCCAGTTCATCCTGGCAGGAGTAACGCGTGATGCAACCAAATTTTACCACATAATCGCCAAAGTGGACCAGAGCGTGTTGTGCCACATCTCGGATTTGGTTGCAAATTCACCAGAAAACGACAAGTACCTGTCAATCAAGACCAGACTGCTAAGCCGCTTCGAAATGTTCGAAGTCGATTTAGGCGACATGAAGCACCGCACCTACTGGCCCGGATGCAGGATCTGGCGGCTGGGCTTAATGTTGATGATGGATTGATGAAAATGTTGTTTTTGCAGCGGCTTCCTGCAAATGTCAAAACGGTGTTGATGATCCACGACGGCACACTGACCAAATTGGCTGAAATGGCAGATAAGATGGTGGAGTCTTCTTACACGCATCCGTCTGTAGCAGCAACTACTTCGCAACCAGCATTCCCTACCCAGGAGGATCTCGGCGAACAAATCGCCTATCTCACGGCGGAAATCCGGAAGTTCAAGGGAATCAGCAGAGGCAAGAACGAGTCGATCGTCGTCCCGCGTACGACAGAGTGCTAATGAGCCAATTTGCTGGTACCACAAAAAGTACGGTGTAAACGATCTCCAGTGCCGCGAGCCGTGTGTCTTCAAAAATTCGCCAAAAAACTAGACAGCAGCCCATCTTTCACGGCGGGGGTGGGTATGAACAAGGAAAGCCGCCGCTTATCCGTTTTTGACAGAACCAACAACATTCGCTTCTTAATCGATACCGGATCGGATGTTTCTATCCTACCAGCTACCAGAAGAGACAAAACCAAGCCACCGATTCCGTTCCTGTTGCATGCAGCAAATAGCTCGAACATCAAAACTTTCGACACACGTTTCCTGTACGTGGATCTCGGTCTCCGCAGGAGATTATCCTGGAATTTCCTCGTCGCAGACGTTAGTTTAGCTATTATCGAAGCAGACTTCCTGTCTTATTTCGGATTGATGGTGGATCTCAGACACATCGATGGGACAACAAAACTCAAGTCCACAGGTGGGATGGTAAATTCGCTTCTTCACGACGTCACAACAATCAGTTATGATCATCCGTTCCGGCAGCTGCTTGAGGAGTTCCAGACTATAACACGTCCGTCGACGTTGCGTGCAGAAGTTCGTCATGGTATTACTCATCACATAGTGACCAAAGGACCACCTACCGCTTGTAAAGCGCGCCGGATGTCGCCAGACAAGCTGTCGCTCGCTAAGCAGGAATTTCAAACGATGATGGATCTTGGCATTTGTCGTCGTTCTAGCAGCGGTTGGGTCAACCCGTTACATTGCGTGCCAAAAAAGTCTGGACAACTGCGCTTTGTTAGAGATTATCGCAAGCTAAACCATGTCACTGTTCCGGATAGGTATCCGGTCCCGCACATTCACGATTTGCTAAACGCCTTCCACGGTAAGTCAATATTCAGTACTATCGACCTTGAACGAGCTTACCATCAGATACCAGTGGAGGAAGAAGACGTACCAAAACAGCCGTTATAACTCCATTTGGTCTATTCGAATTTACTAGGATGCAGTTTGGCCTGTGTAATGCAGGTCAAACGTTCCAAAGATTCATGCATAGGCTTTTTGGAGACCTCGATTTTGTTGTCGTCTTTATCGACGATATGTGCGTTGCTTCGTCTTCAATTGAAGAGCACCATCAGCACATGCGAATAGTGTTCGACAGACTTCGATCAAATGGCCTTGTAATAAACTTACCTAGATGTAAATTCGCCCAACAAGAAGTCGAATTCATCGGTTCCCTCATCGGAAGAGACGGCGTAAAACCGTTACCTAGTCGAGTGTCAGTGGTTTTAAATTTTCCTCGCCCAACGACAATCAAAGACCTTCGGCGATTCCTTGCACTTGTTAACGGGTACAAACGTTTCGTAAGCCAAGCGACCGATATGCAGGCAGAACTAAGGTGTCTCATCACAGGTAACAAGAAAAACGATTCCAGGAAAATCGAATGGACCGAACCAGCCATAGAAGCGTTTGAGAACAGTAAGAAAGCACTAGCAGAAGCAGCGTTACTATATTACCCAGATCCAGATAAACCTTTGGGGCTTCTAGTAGATGCTGCCGGAGCCGTTCTGCAGCAATGTGTCAACGGGACTTGGCAGCCGTTAGGTTTTTATTCGGAGAAATTCACCCTGGGCCAACGAAGCTATTCCACTTTTGGACGGGAGCTAATAGCTATGACAATGGCCGTAAGGTACTTCAGACATCTGTTAGAGGGCCGCCGATTTACGATTTTTACCGATCATAACCCTCTAACGCATGCTATGACTTCCAATTCTGCTTGTCGTCGGCCCCACGAAGAGAGAGCGTTACAGTACATTTCACAATTTACTACGGACATCAAACACATCAGTGGACAGCTTAATATTATTGCAGACACGCTCTCCAGAGTAGACACGATTAGTTCTCCATCTCCAATCGATTACAAAATCATTGCATTGGACCAGGACAATGACCGAAAACTCCATAAATTACTCAGCTCGACGAGTTCTTCGTTGAATTTGAAACAAGTTACCCTGCAGCTGTGTTCAAAACCACTTTATTGTGACGTCTCCGTAAATGGTTGCACTCGTCCGTACATACCAGA